GTTCTCAAAATTCAATGGACCTGTTAAAAGAGGTAAAATGCAAGATAAAATTTGTATTTATCGCGCTTTGCAAATTGATGCGACTTTTAACAAAATTTGTAGATCTCTGCATACCGATTGTTCGATTGCAATCTATTGTATGCGATTTCTTAGCAACTGTCTGATCAAATTCAATAAATTTTTTTTGATTTGAATTCAATCGATCTATAGAATTCAAATATAAAAAATTTTATCGAATTTGATTAGGTGGTTGCTAAAGTATCTTTGCTCAAAGCTTTTAGGAAAAATTTGACGCAACTTCTATTTTTGATAACCCTTTTGGCATTATTAAAAAACTGAGTAATTATATCTCAGCAACTACCTAATCAAATTCGATGAATTTTTTTTTATTTGAATTCTATAGATACATAAAATTCAAATAAAAAAATCATCGGATTTGACTAGATGGTTGCTGAGAAATTGCATAAAATCACGTACAATCGGGCATGTAGCATCTACAAATTCATTAGAAATCACATCTATAGATGTAATCCAAACTACTTGAAACATCCCAAACCATGTGATAATTAGTATAGTGTGTTTCGGCTGCTTTTTTTCTTATTGCCGAAATCATGTGATACTAGTCATCAATTTGCAAGGGTTGTCGCTCAATTCTCCGAAAACTGCTTACCCGACAGTCCATTTACCGATATCACATAGGGTGACAATTTAGCATTTGGTTAGCTATATGTATATTTTATTAGTAAATTTTCACCTCATGTGATGTCGGATAAATAGACTTTAGAAGTAGTTTTCGGGGAATCGTACCGTAACCATTTGCAAACAGTGATAGTAGCTCATTATTATATGTATTATTATTTTTATGTACTTATAAATTATACTTACACCTTAAAAAGTTTAAGAATTATATAAAAGACAGCAAGATTGAAGTATATGGACTAACTCAAAACACAGCTACCAATGAGTATATATTGGTATTTGATAAATTTCATTCCAAAAGAAATAATTGGAATGGAAAATGTGCCTGCTGTGAACGATATAACACTGCTACAGCTTGGTGCCAAACATGTGATCCTCACAGAACGACTCAAGGATGTGCAAGTGGGAATAAGGACATTGATGATTGCATTAAAGAACTTCAACTTGAGGCCACGGAATATGAGAATGTGATCGAATGGATTCCTTTTAATAAATTAGATGATATTCAAAACAGTGGAGACGAATTTTTAGCAACCTGGCTAGATGGCACACGAGCAATTTCTGTAGAAGATTATAAATACACACAATCACGTATATCACCATGCGTTATTGACCTTAAAATCTTATATAGTCCTCAAAATTCAAAGGAACTGCTAGAAGAGGTAAAATATAGGTGCATTTATTTTATTATCATATGTATCTTTATTATTTATAAATTATATTATCTTTTCAATAAGTTCAAGAGCTATATAGATGATAGCAAGCTTAAAGTATATGGGCTAACTCAATACACGGCTACTAATGAATATATGTTGGTGTTTGATAAATTTCATTCCAAAAGAAGTTACGAAAATGGAAGAAAATGTGTACATTGTAATCGATATAACACATCACTAGCTTGGTGTCAAACGTGTGACCCTCACAGAACAGCTCAAGGATGGACGAGTGGAAATAAAGACATTGATGATTGCATTAAAAAACTTCAGCTTGAGGCCACAGAATATGAGAACGTAATCGAATGGATTCCTTTTAATAAATTATATGATATTCAAAATAGTGTAGGCGAAATTTTAGCAACCTGGCTAGATGGCATACAAACCATCTTTGTAGATGATTATAAATACGCACAATCACGTACATCGCCATGTGGGATTAACCTTATTATATTACTTGGTTCTCAAAATCCAACAAATCTGTTAGAAGAGGTAAAATATAGGATAAAATTTACATTTATTTTTTATAATATATACCTTTATTTTATATATTTATATAAATTATATTATCTGTTAATAAGTTTAAGAGCCATATAGATCATAACAAGCTTAAAGTATACGGGCTAACTCAAAATACGGCCACTAATGAGCATATGTTGGTATTTGATAAATTTCATTCCAAAAGAAATGATTGGAATGGAAAATGTGCACATTGTAATCGATACAACACATCATTAGCTTGGTGCCAGACATGTGACCCTCACAGAACAGCTCAAGGATGGACAAGTGGAAATAAGGAAATTGACGATTGCATTAAAGAACTTCAACTTGAGGCTACAAAATATGACGATGTGATCGAGTGGATTCCTTTTAATCAATTAGATGATATTCAAAACAATAGTGATAAATTTTTAGCAACCTGGCTAAATGGCATACGAATCATTTCTGCAAATAAAAACATATGGAATAAAGAATGCACACAATCACGTACACCACCATGCATGGTTAACTTTAAAATATTACACAGTTATCAAAATTCAATGAGTCTTTTAGAAGAGGTAGGTATTGGATAAAATCCTTTCTTTATTATTATGCGCATCTTTATTTTATAGACTCATAAATTTATTCATAAGTTTACTTATTATAAATTATGCTTACCCATTTAAAAGTTTAAGAACTATGTGAAAGATAACAAGTTTAAAGTATATGGACTAACTCAAAACACAGCCACTAATGAGTATATGTTAGTTTTTGATAAATTTCATTCTAAAAGAAATTATTGCAATGGAATATGTGCGCATTGTGTCCGATATAACACTGCTAAAGCTTGGTGTCAAGCATGTAACCCTCACAAAACAGCTCAAGGATGGACAAGTGGAAATAAGGAAATTGATGATTGCATTAAAGAATTTCAACTTGAGGCCACAGAATATGAGGATGTGATTGAGTGGATTCCTTTTGACAGATTTGATAACATTCAAGAAGATGGTGATGAATTTTTAGCAACTTGGTTAAATGGCATACGAATCAATTCTGTAAATGGGAATATATGGAATAAAGAATACACACAATCACGTACATCACCATGTGTAATTAATCTTAAAATATTATATAGTTATCAAAATTCAATGTATTTGTTAAAAGAGGTAAGATTTAAGATAAAATTTATATTTATATATTGCTATGTGTATCTTTGTTTTTATGAACTTACAAATTATAAATTACATTTGCCTATTTAAAAGTTTAATAACAACATAAGAGATAATAAGCTTAAAATATATGGGCTAACACAAAATCCAGCTACCAATGAATATATGCTGGTATTTGATAAAATTCATTGCAGAAGTAGTACGAATGGAAAATGTGCATGTTGCAATCGATATAACACATCACCGGCTTGGTGCCAGACATGTGACCCTCCGAAAACAGCTCAAGGATGGACAAGTGGAAATAAAATTATTGATGATTGCCTTAAAGAATTTCAACTTAAATCTACAGAATACATGAACGTGATTGAATGGATTCCTTTTGACAACCTAAATAACATTCAACAGACTGAGGCTGACTGTGTATTTCAAGGAATCTGGTTAGATGGTAAACGATCAATCTTAAATTGCACGCGGCTGCGTACAGAACGATGTTGGGTTGATATTAAAGTTTTGCCTAATCCTCAGAATCCATTAGATTTTTTGAAAAATGTAAGCTAAAATATTATTACAATTAGCTCATATTCTGACTAAAATTAATGTTATGAATCTTTGTTGATTTACAAGTTTGCAAATCAAATACGAATTGAAAGTGATGGGATTAAAATACATGGAATAACACAATCTGAAGACACTGGTGAATATATGCTGGTATTTGAAAATACAATTTATAACAATGATAATGATGAGTTTGCTTATAAAAGACACGATTGGCATGGCAGATGTATAAATTGTAATCGATTTAATACTTCAAAAAATTGGTGCCAGTCATGTGATCCTTATAGAATAACTCGGGATTGGACAAGTGGTAATAAAGACATTGATGATTGTATTAAAGAGTTCCAACTTAATGCTACTGAACATAATAAAGCAATTGAATGGATTCCGTCTGAAACATTAGGTGCCATAGAAGAGATTGGTAAAGGAGGATTTGGTACCGTATTTTTAGCTAATTGGCAACCACGATCAATGAAGGTAGCACTCAAGACTTTACCCGGGTCAAAAAAAAATTCTGATAATTTTCTAAAAGAAGTAAATGATAAAGTTATAATTTAATTATTCGTCTATGACGTATATTATCTCTAATTTACATAAATTTTATTTTTATTAGTTTAGAAGCCATATGAATTGCAGATTATGTGGTAGCAGGCTTATAATATATGGATTAACTCAAAATAAGGAAACAGAAGAATATATGATGGTATTTCAATATGCTAATCGAGGAGATCTCCATAATTATTTAAAATCGAATTTTAAAAAACTTACATGGGAAGATAAATTATCATTATTAATTGATATTTCAAAGGATTTAAGTAAAATTCACAAAGCAGGATACATTCACTGTGATCTTCACAGTGGCAACATTTTGCAGCATAAAGAGGAATCATGGTTTGGTTCGTTAAAATCTTATATTGCAGATTTAGGACTATCACGAAAGAACGAAGAAAGCATTTTAAAAAATGGACTTTATGGAGTTATGCCTTATATTGCACCTGAAGTTTTATTAGGTCAGAAGTATACATCAGCAGCCGATATATATAGTTTCGGAGTTATTATGGTGGAGATGACTACCGGAATACGACCATTTTATGGACGTTCATTTGATATCGGGCTTGCATTAGATATTTGCAGTGGAAAGAGACCTGAATTTGCTTTAGAAATTCCTAGCTGCTATATTGAATTGTCCAAGTTATGCATGGATTCAGACTCACAAAAACGACCTGCTGTTGAAACCATTTATAATAAGCTTTCTCAATGGCATAGTTTTATAAATCAATATGATGAATCTAATGAATTTGATGGATCTGACGAACTTGATGAATCTAATGAACCGGAAGAATTTGATAAATCTAATGAGAAATTACAAATAATTAGTGAGTTTATGGCTGCTGATATGAAAATCCAAAAGCTTTCAGTAAATTTGAAAGAACATCCTGATATTGTGTATCGATATTCGAGTAAATTTATTAATACACATGAAATTTCTCAACAACTTAATATAGGTATTGGTGATTATAAGCTCTACAGTCTCGATATTATTATATTATTTAATGTAATATCTATTTATATAATGCAGGTTCCATCCCTATTGTTAGCGATGAAATTTCAGTTGACCTAATGGTAAGTCGCAGATTAAAAAGACGGAAAACTAGCCAGGGGTCATATTGTGACGTGTTAATGTGACCTAGCCGCAGTCACTCAAAAACGTGATCCAAGTACGGGACCCGGGACCCGAAATGCGTATTGATCGATAAAGGCAAGGCATTAAGATTCTTAAAGGGAGTTAGAAATGAGTGTAATGTGTATTAGTAAGCTTATATTTTGACCTGAGTCAAAGTAACCTGGAAAGGATATTTTACATTGCATAATACAAAAAATATTAACTTTATAATAAATTGGGTTATAAATATATTAGAAGCAGTTTTTTGATGTAGTTTTAGATAGTATTTTGCTAATGTAGTTTTAAATAATTTTTGTTAATAAAGTTTTAAATATGTTAGAAGCAGTTTCTTGCTAATGCAATTTTTAATATATTAAAATAAGTTTTTACTAATGTAATTTAGATATGTTGGAAATGTTTTTTTTAATTAAACTTGCCTCTTGGGTATTAGGATTTTTATTTAGTATTATAAGATATAGAGACTCACAATCAAAGTCTCAAATAAGTTATTTTTATATTAAAGAGTACAACTAGTTATATATATACTTTTTGTATCTAATTTATATAGTCTGTCTATATAAATTCTATACTGACTGATAGGTTTTATAGTTTAATTTGATTTGATTAAATATATAACTTCAAATTAAATTTAAATTTGAAATTTCAAATCAAATCAAATTTAAATCTGAAATTTCAAATCAATTCAAATTCAAATATCAAATTTGATTTAATTTGACAAATATTTGATTTAATTTAAAATTTTATAATTGAACATTTAAATTATAAGTCATTTATTCAAAAATTAATTAAGATAATTAATTTTTTATTTTATGAAACTAGAAGTATTTTGTTTAGAAAAACATTTTTATTTAAAAACTCAAGATTGATTAACATAGTAAATTTTTTGTAAATTAAGTTTTATCATTATTAATAATATTTTAAAATTTTTTTTAAATTAAATAAAATTTAAATATTTGAATCAAAAATTTAATCAAATCAAATTCAAATTAGAATATATTTAATTTGATTAAATTTAAATTAATCTAATATTTGATTTGATTTTAATATAAAAACTTTACTGATTGTTATATCTGCAATTTAACTATGAGTATTACTTATTTAAACCTTTTGTATTACAGTTTTTACTATATTATTAAAACATCTTTGATATATATATTAGTTAAAAAGTTTTAGATATTTATATATATTCTTAAACAGTTTTCTTGTTTTATGCAGTTTATTCTCAAGGCATTATTATTAGAGCCTTTTATATTTTACATATAATTAACTTAGTTTTATATAATATATTGTAGTTAAAATAATATTTGCAATTACAATTATTCTATTAAACTGCTATATTACATTATTTTTACTTTTGTAAAGTTTATCCAAATCTTGGTATCTATTTTTTTAATATTTTTTTATTATTTTTTATTAATTCTTGTATATAGTACTAATTAAACTTTTTAAACTACTAATTCAAATATTCTATATAATATATATAGATCAAATAAAAAGTCGCTAACTAAATTAATTTTAAATTAATTTTAAATAATTAATAAGAAATATAAATTTTAATTATAATTAAAAAAATATCAAAACACTGATATTAATATGGATTTAATTCAAAAATACTGATATTTTTAAATACAACTAGTTAACTATTAGGATAGTTTCAGATATACTAATATAGTAATAATGTTTTCTATAATACTATAGTAATAATATAATATTGTTCAATAATAATAGACATATTTCTATTTTAAAATTATTGTCAATATAGTTTTAAGATTTTTAAAATGCTTTAAAATTATTTATAATATAGTTTAATATTTAAAACAATTATTAAACATTTTGGCAAAATATTATTAATAACAAAAGTAAAATAAATTTTACTATTATATATAAAATTTTCTATTAACTAATATTACTAATATATATTCTATTAGAATTTTCTTCTCAACTTTAACAGTATCAAAAATAAATTATTCTAAAATATTGTATATGGAATTATATAATTTCTACTTATAAAAGTTTTAATTTTACAATTTAATATTATAAAATATTATCTACTTAGTAATAATATCTAATTATATAGTTATTAACAGGCTTGAACCAACATACAAATGTTAATATATACTTTTTTGAGCCATTAGGTAGGTGTACAATATGTTTAAAATTAAATGAATAAAACCAGAATATATGTTAGTAGATCTATTATTTAATATAAATTTTGCTATTATTTTTGTTAATCATTTGCATCTTGTTACAAATATTAAACCAAAAATTTTATCATCAATTTTTAGTTTTTTATATATTATTATTTTAAATAAAACTAGTATAGAGTTTGATATGCTAATATCTCTATTATTTAATAACTTAAAACTATAATTATAAGCATTATTATAATATTCAGTTAGTAAAACTAATAATTTATTTAAAAGTATCTTTCTAATATTTTTAGGCCCTAAAAAAGCATTTGAAAAAGATTTATTTTCTGTTTTTGAGTTTTATTTAATATTTGTAAATATTAATAGAAATTTTTAGCAATTAATTTTATTATTTATAGAAAACTGTTAATTATTTTCTTTATTAATTAAACTATAAACATGTATGGAAATGTTTTTCTGTTTGTATTATAAGCTTGATCAATAGTGAATATAATTGAATAATTTTAAATATTTCAATTTCAATTCTTATTGCTATTATAAAATAAACTTATTAATATATAAAGATTTTAAAAACTATCAATATTTTGTTATAATAATTAATAAATTTTTTAGTATTTAACTTATCTAATAAACTGTTTATTTTTTTATAACTAAAGCACCAAAATGTTTATAGTTATTTATATAAATTTAGTGTTATTTTTTCTGAACTATATTTCTTTTCAATAAGCTTTACTATATTTAACAAATACTAATATGCTTCTTCTAACTTGATTTTTAGTAAAATTCAGTATATTAAAATTAAACATACTTTAAAAAAATAAGTTAAAATTCTTTAGTTATCTTCTTTTAGTAAATCTCACTTAACCAAAATTGCATATATTAATATAAATGTCTTTTATTAGGTTGTTATAAAATTAGATAAACTGTTTTCTATAGCAATTTTATTTTATTAAAGTTAAATTATATAAAGATAAAATGCTTTCTTTAATTTATAGTTTTATAATTCATTTAGTAATGTCTAAAATAGACAATATATTGAATCTATTATAGTAAACTAAATAGGGTTAAAATAGTTAATACAATATATTTTTAACTACTAGATAGATGCTTCAAAAGTATTTTTTTTGTATCTTTTATACAGCAATTTTTTTATAATATTTTATTTTATTGAATTACATTAATATCTTTCTAAACAAACCATTTACTAATATTGACAAATTTACCAAAGTTCAGTTAATTTCTTTTGTTAAAATTAACTCTTTTTATATATTTGTGACAAGCAATTGAGCTAAAATAAAGCTGTATAATTTTCTTGCATCTAGTATATTACAAGAATAACAAATTACTGATACTCTAATTAATTTGACAGTAAAGCTTTCAAAAGTTCTTTCTAATTTAATTTCTAATTATATAATAAATTAATACAAATAATTAAATAAATATTAAAATCATTTTATTTACCAATCTACAAACTAACTAATTAGTTTATTAAAAATACTAGATAATAGTTTAGTTAATACAATTTAGATTCACTTAGTCTTAGTATTATAGCTAATATCAATATGTTTGATAGCTTAAATTACTTATTATATAGAAAGTTACAAAAAACTGCATAATTTGTACTAATACTATATTGAGAGTTATTATATAATTAAAACAAATCAAAATTTATTATTAAGTTCAAATGACTATTATGACAAATAAATGACAAGTTTGTCACTTCAATGAACAAGACCTTTTATAATGTTACAAAATAGAAAAATAAGACTTCAAGGCATGGTTATGATTTATGTAAATATAACTCAATTCTTTATTTATTTACTTTGGGTTTCTCTACAGATACTTCAACTAACTACTATTTATTTACACTATCAACTATTAACTATAAAGACTACAATTTTTTTTCACTATTTGGAGATATGAAAGATAAGTATTTTATTAAAGTTTTCTTTGTTTTTTATACATTTAAGTAGATACTAACAATGCTTCTATTTATTTTAAATTTACTTTCTATTTTTCTACAATTTTGCTCTGTAGAATTGTACTACTGTAGGTTTTATCTAAACTGAATAAGTACTATACTTTATGCATTTGTATTTTTATATAATTTATTTTTTATTTTTTTTGGTATTAAAATAGGCCTTGCGCATATCTTTATTGGTAGTTTTTAAGATTAATAACTTCATAGAGTTACTATATATAAAAATAATTCAATATAAATGCTATGACCAAGGCCAACATTTGCAGTTAGGACTAACCATTAAACTGCTAACTATATATAACTAACTTAAGTACAAATAAGAAGAAAATTATATTCAAAAGTGAAGCTCAGATATATTTATCTGTAACCTAAATCTACTAGAGTGGTCATGACTCATCTAGATTTGGATAGTTAAATATAGTAAATGAAATATTGTATTTAATCCAGAGAATAGTCTATATGTTGATTTTTCTAATGGCATAGTCAAGAGATGGGCATGTATTGAAGTTTGAGTATACTTGATCAGGTAGTCTACATATATACAAGTATGAATATGTTTGGCAGTTGTATTTAGTTTGTCTATTATAATTAGTTTGAGTTAAGTATTTGGAAAAAAGAGGTTTAAGACCTTGTTGTTTTTTCCAATTTGAGAAGTTTATGCAATATGGTTTTCAAAGTAGTTCATAACATAGTTTATTGATTTCAAGTAGTATTTTAATAACTATTTGTGATACTAATTTATAAGAAATGTTAAGATTTTGAATTGTTTGAATTAGAGATTTGGGTACAAGTTTTTAAGAATAATATCAAGATAGAAAAAGTTTTTATTGAATAGTATTTAATAGAAGGTTTCATAATTTTGAATTTTTTG